CTGCCGTCAGATCAGACACTCACACACAGACCAACGACCGGAGAAATGGAGACACCAAGGAACGCACGTCCGCTTCCGTCCAACTTTTTCCGTCGACTGACAAGAGACGCGACGGAGCGCCAAATTTAAAGCGCTAAACCCCACTGCTTTGAGAGAGGGCAGGAGCAGTGTGGGCGATTGGGGCAATACGAGGCGGAGAGTAGAGAGTGGGGCAACGGGTGTTTGGTGGTGAGAGCGAGCCACCAAACAAACAAATGTTTACATGCGGAGAGAGTAAAATTAGACTCTCTTCCACACTAAGCTACAAAACAGAGCATACAATTTAGCATTAAAAACTAACCACCAGTGCGAATGAGTGATTTGGAAAGGTTGTTTTCTGAATTTAACATTATTCTAAAAACAAGATTTTATTGCTCTTAGTTATACCTATTTTTACTAAGACTACGACTAAGATTTCAACATAATAAATGAAAATTATTTAAATAATATATGTTTTATTAAAAATATATGATAATCATAACCTAACTTCTTACTAATAATAAAAACACTGATTAGGGTTTAATAAACAAAAACAACCCCTTGAGTTTGTTTATTTCTCAAAAGCGTAGTGTAATGTTGGAGAGCGGCTTTGAAATGGAATGAGAAAAGCATGTAAAATGTAAAAATTCAAGAGCTTTTTACATGCCTTGATTAACCGTACAATGAGATTATGGAAGTCAAACAAATTTATTGGAAAATTAGAGTATTAATTATACAGTTTTATTTTTCTTATTAAACTAATTTTTATGATATTTTTAGGACACTGTTTTTTCTACAGTAACTCACTAGCAAACAGCTTCCAGACACATTAAGGACACCACCACCCGCCCACGTACTACTATGTAAACACTCTCGGCAACAGTTGTTCTATTTTGGCGCCAAAAATAGCTGAGAAAGTAAACAAATGCCTAGCCAATGTGCTCGAGCCGAAAGCTCTCTCTTGCGCTCAAAAGAACCATCCTCGCACGTCTGAGCTCGTTACAGGATGTAGGTCAACCACTGCGTATGAGTGATATTGCAGAGGCAATAGAACTAAGCGTTCAGTTACCGCATTTTAGTTGCCTGACTCACTTTGAACGGGACACTTGACCCAGACAATGCGGAAAACCCAGACAGGAGTTTTTCCATAGTGCTGCGGACGAAATTCGCGCGCGACAATTGCGAATCAATACGGCCGGAAAAAAACAATAAAAAAAAGTTACAGAAAAAAACGGAAAAACCATAAAGTCAAGAAAACAGAAAAACAGAACTACAAGAAGGCCGAACAATTGAATTTATTTTTGGCAAGACCCATTGACATTGGTCGGGCGCCTTCAGTGCCACCGAAGTGACTCTCAAACTGTCAGGTGAATGTTTGAATTAAAAATGCAAAAGTCCTAAGTAGCGACTTCCCGGGTCCACCTGCGAAAAGGCTTATCGAGGCCCAGGAGAGAGACCGTCGAGGCGCCTTCATGTTCATGTTCACATTTAATCTGACTTGTGTGTCCGCTCCTTCTGCCATGTAAATTACGCATACGCAGCGTTGTCCCAGGACTCAAGCAAGCCAAGCCTGGGAGAAGAGAAGAAAAAAGATAAAAACGCAGTGTCAAGTGACAGAAAAAGCTGTCTGTCAGACGTTGGAAAAGGGGTGGGCTTGGCAGGCATTTGAAATATTTATGAAAGCCAGCTGGTTGCCATGAAGCCTTCAACATTTTTGTTTCGCTGCTGCTGCTGGTGTGGCTGCTTTATTTTTTAGTGGCAGCCTTTCGCACTCGACATCAAGGGTAATTAAAATGTGGACACATTAAGGCGGCTCTGGGTTTTGCGGTTAACCAGACACACAAAGGCACAAGCACAGATTTCCACCTGCGAGGTAAAAAGTTTAGGATTTTCGTTTCGGGAAAGTTGTTGCTCTAAAGTGGCCCTCTTTTGTGCCACTTGGGGCAGCTGTCAGTTGGTTGAATTTGGATTACCTACGAATTTTATACCCCCATGTTGAACAAACATTTTAATTAGTAGATAAAACAGAAGGATAAAGCTGTGGTGCTACAAAAACTACTATCCAACTAAATCCTTTAAAGAACCTTCAACTAACATGCTTCATAAGCAAGCAGCCCTGTCATCCTTATGACCAAATCAGTGTGTTAGAATATTTGATCCTTGCATACAAAGTCCTTAAGCGGAAGTAGTGTTTGCTAAGGAGCCACTGTTTTTCTTAAAGAAGCCACCCTTCCTCCGACATTGTATCCGTTGACCCGGCCAAGACTCATTAATAATCGGCTGCCCTTTTTTGGCTTTCCTTGTTGTTTTCTTTTTATTGCCACAATCAACGATTTCCGTGCGTGTTGCTTCACTTTGGTGTTGTGTGGCAAGGACTTGCGGCATTTCGGGGCAATAACCACACAAACGAAAAAATAGTAACAAACTGGTGTATAATTCATAAGGCGTTCCCACTCCCATTATCCTGTCAGATGCGCAGCAATGGCCAATGCTGGTTGAAGACAACTGACACTTCGACCGATATTAAAGCCCAATAATAGCCGTCACCAGGATCACATGTCCTGGCACATGCCTAGAATGGAGGATAATTTAGTGGCGAAAGCAGAAAGGAAACTTTCATTTGCAGTCGAGTGCCGTTCTGGCGTTCTATGTCAGTTATTTTATATGTATCCCCGAGGCCGGTTTACGTTAACATCATCTGCATATAACAACCTGTCTAAAGGCCCTTTTTTTCTGGCCAACCAAATGTAGTCAAAGGAAAAGTTTAACATGCCAGGGAACCAGCCTTTGCGGTCTTCGGGGAGAGCTTCTAAGTATTTTGGCCGCCAAGCAAATTTTCTTAGACAGAAGACGAAGGAAAATAGCTTAAACGTGCCAGATGAGTTCCACACGAGTGATTGGAGGTTTATCTAAAAAATCTGGGTAAAGAGTATAACTGTTGAAGAAATTTAAATTGGAATATTTCTGATTAAATTACCGCTAGGCGACCTTGAAGAGCCCCTTGATTGTAATTCGATTCTGGCCTCATTTAATAATTGCTTCAATGTATCTTACACGTCTGGCCTCCAATCAGTGTCTTTTCTTAGAGATGTAGACAGAGAAAATATGGTTAAAATATATCACAATATTATCAGAAATCAGAAATAAATAGTTTAGCACCCCTTGGCTATATGACCCAAAACTAAATAAATCTTAAAGCCAAACTACTTGCCATTACTACCATTATACTAGTATTTTCTGGCGCATATCTCTGACCTGCAACACATCGCTTTTACCTTCTGTGGGTCAGGTCTGCTCTGTTTTCCATCTACCACCCAGTTCCCCACCAGTTCTCTTCGCTTTGCTTGACTGGAGGCACTCCATAAATCAAAGGCGATGTGACGCAATTTTCTTTCCACAACCGGCGATGCTACACGAAACCTAAACAGAATATAAGAATATTCCCAATTTGTTTACATTGTTCGTTCAATAAAGTCAAGGCGCCGTCATCGAGTGACCTCGATCACCGCCCGGGAATTGTCACAGTTTAGTTTTGAATTAAGTTTTATGGCACGTTACCGAAGGGGAAAGTTTTATTACCCAGCCACGCCCCTTACCCGCCCGCCAAGTGGGTTCAAAGTTGAAAAAACCTAAACTACAAGCTTGCGAAGCAAATCAAAGGAAGGCAGAAAGGCAGAATATAAAACATTTATGAGCCAATTAAAGGGGAGAGCACATGTGGCACTTCCTTGATTCAACAGGATATGCAGGTTCTCGAAATTTCCCCAAGGCTTCATTTGGTCGTTAATGAGTATCCTACCGGAAAGGAGTTTGTACTTAATAAATGGAAGCACTGCGAAAAAAGGAACATCCTTATATATCCTTTAACTTGATCTTACAATTATCCAAAGCCTTTTTATCCTTTTTTTTCTGTGTAGGGATACCGTATCCGCAAATTCCGGCTCCATTTGCCTGCAGGCTAGCCGTGTCCTTCAGATGAGTTCTTCTGCTTCCCTGCATGTCCTGCAGCCAGACAATGTGTGTGTGCAGCGGTTGTGGTGTGGGTGTGGGCTCGTAACACTGGGTAATTGTGTGGGTGACTGTTGAAGGGCATGTTGAAGTATAGTACGCCCTTTTTCATGGACAGCGTTTGTTTGCTTTTGATTTGCGCTTTTTCGTCCTGCAGTTGCTTCTTACTGCTCGCGCTTTTTGTTTACCTTTTCGATTTCCCATCGAAACATAAAAAATGCATATCGCTATGATTATTACACATACGCCATGTGTTACAGGGGCATTTAGTATTTATGAAAAAAAGAATGGAAACCGAGGAAGTCCAAACGGAGAGAGGAAGAAAAACAAACAAAAAAATGCCGCTTAATCCTTATTCATGACTGCACACAGCCAGGACTTATTACGCCCGTGTGCGTCATCCGGCAGTGGCTCCCAAACTGTTACGCTAATTACTCAACACAGCCTAGATTTTTATCTCATTTGCAAGTGAGTCAGCTAGAAAGACAGACGGAAAACTACAACAATTACCACTTGACCCAAGACCAAGGATAACCAATTCAATTACACTAAACCACAAGATTTTTATGAAAAAATTAAGGTTCTGACTCAACTTGTGAAATCTAATTCCCATATTCCCCCAAAAAATCCCATATTTATCATAATCCTATGAGTCAATATAATTAGATTCGCTTTTTAAAGAGTTTGAAATTTTTAAACTATTTTAAAAGATTGTTTCAAAATTAATCATTCCATTAGGCAATCCTATTCTATCAATCGTTCATTAATATTAAGATTAATTAAAAGGTCCTTTCCCCCAGACTCTCACAATCTTGTTGTCTAGTGCCTCTGCCCAGGCTCCTCTCCTGGTCGTGGCGCCAACAATCCCGACACACCGCAGCCCCAAACGGCTGCTGTGGGGCGCAGCTTTCACTCAAATCGAGAGCTTTAACTCAAGACCCCCAAACTCGAGAGAATTCATCTAGTGGCTGATGCTTCGCGAATGGAATTCAATTCAATTTAGCCGCTCACCATGAAAAGTCGCTGAATTCGCTGCGTACGTTACAAAATAAAATTGAAATCCAACGGAGTGGAGCAATCAAGTCTATAAAGAATTTTCTCCTGTGCTCGGTGCGTAATATAAACTGATTATAATATGACTTGTTTGATGTGTAATCGGAATCCAGTTGGTTTTTTTAAACAAAAAATTGTTCGCCTGTTTACTTGATTGTTGTTCGGAAATAGAACTTGATAAAAATATACAAAAAACTGTGTGTGAGCTATATTCGACGACTCCCCCCCGTATATGCAAATGTTGGAATATTTTTTTTAGCCTTCAGTTCGGTGCGGTTTCTATCGGAATTTTTAATGAGTAAAGGCTACGCAGTAAAAAGTTATCTTAAATGTGTATGAATTTTAAATAATTGCTATTTGCAAGTGAAACAGAAGCAAGAAATATTTGTGAAAAATTCTTAAAAGCACATCCCAAGAGGAAAATTATTTTCTGAGCGGTATCTAATGGAAATAAGCTTTATGAATTGTTTTTATATTTATAGCAAAGTGCAGAGAGAAACGAAAAAGTTTGAAAGCAATAAATTACATTTAAATAATATGCCAAGTGATTCAAATAATATCTGAAAGTGAAATAATAGCCGTAAATAATTTTTAATTTATTCGTGGTTCCTTCTAGATAAGTGCACGTATAATTGAGTACCATATCTTTATTTCAGATGCACATATATTTCTCATAAACACCCAACACTTACACTAACAGGGAGGAGCGCAACCCAAACCACAAACCTAAACAATGAGGTGATGCCACAATTTAGTTAATTTATATTTATTTTTCATTCATTACACGAGGAACACCGCCAAGTCACTTAAGTATTCCTCCGCTCATATAGTAGAGTGACTACGTCATCGCCAAGAAACCTGAACGATGAACAAAATAAAAGAAAAAAAAAAAACAACACACTCACACCAAAAAATATGTTCGGTTCAAGTTCTTGGCAATGGGAAGTATCAACATCATTTGAAGGCAGACAAGCTTTGGCAGCCACCAGTCTCGAATTAAGTCACAGTCCCCTCTCTCTTTCACTCCACGGCATGCGCTCTCTTTCTCATGCTAGCTACTTGGGGTGTGTGTATTTTTGTTGCCATTTCTGCTTGGGGAACAGGACCTGGGGGGCCGAGCCATTCAACAGGTGCCCAGCAGCTCAGAACGGAACAAAACGCTGTCAGCAGTTAAAGTTGAATGTTGCCACCACTCAAAATTAGCAAAGCTCGTAACCAGAGCTCGAACCACCCATCACCCAACACCCATCGTGGGGGGCCATACCCCACCTACATTTTCGGAAACACTCCAAGAACTCAGCTAAGTGAAAATTTCTCGTCTCCTTTGTTGCTAACAACAGCTAACAAAGCGTAAAAAAACGTAAAACGCTGAGGTTGTAAATCTCCAGCAAAGTTTGGTTTGGCAGATTATTTAAGCCAAGGTTGAACATGAAATTTGTGTGGCTCGGAAAAGTGTATGACTGTATTATAATGGGTCCCCGAAGTCGCCACAAGAATGAAAAGGGAAAGTCAAACAATGAGGAATGGTATTCTGGAAATTTGAATAAAGTCAACAGCTGCTAAGCGTTGAATAATTAAATGAAACAAAAAAGTTTGATGAAAAAAGAGGAATACTCTTCAAAAAACAATGAAACTTTTCTTTTTTTAACGAAGAATTCAAAAAAGTCCATTTGATACGCTTATGCTTTTTGCACCTTCAGGATAAACTAACTTGCCAACAAAGTTTGGCTACCTTTGTATGGAAATGAAAGCTATTTTGTGTATCCACTCAACAGGTAATGGGTCTAGTGGGAGGAGTGGGTGGTAAACACCCGCAGAAGAGCACAAAAAACTAATAAAAGTGTGTCAACCCACCCACAGGTCGTATGAGTAATGCCAAACTCTATTAAAGAAATTAAGATACGTAAACAACAACAAGCCAGAGTGTTCACAAATGCTACACAGTATACAGGCCCCATCCAAGATCGCATTTCTAGCTTATAGCGCACCAAGTATGACATCATCATTATCATGAGCATTGGCATTTAGCGCCCGGCATCTTAGCCGGCAAATGCTAATGATTCAGCCGGTCTTAGTAATCGGAAATATGCGGAATAATTCGCAAAGTTTGCTAATTTGATTCACTCACTCCTCTTCTAGTGATAACACCCCGACAGTGCCGTTGGCCGAGTTTGTGGACCCACACAATCCCGCCGAGGACGAACCCTTCGTACCGCTAGCGGAGCCCCCAAAAATGAGTGAACCCCCAGTAGCTGTCCCGGCCACGCCCACCGGCAATGGCACGCCCACCGAACCGGCGGCTGGGAACGGTAACGGAAACGGCAACAAAACGGTGGCCACAAGAACCACTAGCGATGAGGACAGCATCTTCTCCATCCTGTATACGGTCGGCAAGAAAGTGGCCATTGTGGGATCCATCTATCTGGTGGGTTACATGGGCTGGTCGGTGGCCTGGCTGATTGCTCCGGTAATCCTGTCAGTGGCCCGAGAGCAACTGGCCAAGACCTCAGAGAAGAAGAGGGATATTGCCAAAGCTTCGGCCCTGGCCTCAGAGAAGGATGTGATTCTGGCCAGAATCGATGAACTTCCCGCCTGGGTCTACTTTCCGGATGTCGAGCGATGCGAGTGGCTTAATAAGGTAGCTATTAATATCTATCTTTTAAATACATAGTTTTAATATCCTTTATTCCTTTGCAGATTTTAAAACAAGTATGGCCCAACGCTAATCACTTCGCCAGGGTTTTGGTAAAGGAAACCATTGAACCCAATGTGGCACTGGCCTTGGCCAACTATAAGATGCACGGATTCCGCTTCGATCGCATTATTCTGGGCACCATTCCGCCCCGGATCGGCGGAGTGAAGATCTACGACAAGAACGTCGACCGAAACGAGATCATTATGGATCTGGATCTCTTCTATGCCAGCGATTGCGATATCAACTTCTATTTGGGCGGAGTGAAGGGCGGCATCAAGGACTTCCAGATCCATGGATGGGTGCGCGTGGTGATGAAGCCCCTGATCAGGTCAATGCCCTTGGTGGGCGGACTTCAGATCTTCTTCCTGAACAATCCCAATATTGATTTCAATCTGGTTGGAGCATTGGACTTTATGGACATGCCGGGTCTCAGCGATTTGCTGAGAAGGATCATCGTAGAGCAGATTGGCAATGTGATGGTTTTGCCCAACAAGCTGCCCATTTCTCTCAGTGAAGAGGTTTCTGCAGTGGCTTTGAAGATGCCTGAACCGGAGGTGAGCTTTGTATTTTATATTCATCTTTCAGTAATTTTTCTAGGAAGGGGATACCCTTCAAAATGGTGAAAATGCTTGGAAGAGCAATATGGCCCACTGGGAAATCTATATCTTCTCCAATAGTCATCCGATTCTTATGGGGATTACCTTAAACGATTTCTAGATCGATTCTCCGTCCATTTGAATCAAAATCTGAACACAAATTATTTGTTCGATTTTTTGTCCATTTTTCTGGGTTGTCCCCTTTGAAAATATGAAAAATGCATGGAAGGACAATACGCCCATTGTGAAGGCTATATCTGGCCCAATAATCGTCCGATTCTTATGGGGAATACCTTAAACGATTTCTAGATCGATTCTCCGTCCATTTGAATCAAAATCTGTATACAAATTATTTTTTCGATTTTTTGTCCATTTTTCTGGGTTGTCCCCTTTGAAAATATGAAAAATGCATGGAAGGACAATACGCCCACTGCGAAGGCTATATCTGGCCCAATAATCGTCCGATTCTAATGGGGAATACCTTAAACGATTTCTAGATCGATTCTCCGTCCATTTGAATCAAAATCTGTATACAAATTATTTTTTCGATTTTTTGTCCATTTTTCTGGGTTGTCCCCTTTGAAAATATGAAAAATGCATGGAAGGACAATACGCCCATTGTGAAGGCTATATCTGGCCCAATAATCGTCCGATTCATATGGGGAATACCTTAAACGATTTCTAGAGTGATTCTCCGCCAATTTAAATCAAAATCTGCACACAAATTATTTTTTCGATTTTTTGTCCATTTTTCTGGGTTGTCCCCTTTGAAAATATGAAAAATGCATGGAAGGACAATACGCCCACTGCGAATGCTATATCTGGCCCAATAATCGTCCGATTCTTATGGGGAATACCTTAAACGATTTCTAGATCGATTCTCCGTCCATTTGAATCAAAATCTGAACACAAATTATTTTTTCGATTTTTTGTCCATTTTTCTGGGCTGTCCCCTTTGAAAATATGAAAAATGCATGGAAGAACTATGTGGCGCACTGCGAAAGCTAGTCATTTCTCATGCAAGCTAGTCAAATCTCATTTTCTGAATGACATTAAACTGCACTCCAGAAATCTATTAACTTTAACAAGCACTCAACCAATAATTACTCGGAATAAATAAATAATTTAACTTCCAGGGCATTCTGCGCATTCATGTAGTTGAGGCCAAGGACCTGATGAAGAAGGACATCAGTGTCCTGGGCAAGGGCAAGTCGGATCCCTACGCCATCATCAATGTGGGAGCCCAAGAGTTCAAAACACAGATCATCGACAACAACGTCAATCCCAAGTGGGACTTCTGGTGCGAGGTACGTATTCCTGGAACGATTCCTTCAGGAGCATACCTGGGGAGTCCCCAGTGCTTGTTGCGTTGCTTCTTGTAGTCTGCTGTTGTTGTCCATCGATTGCTGCATGCTACAATATGTTACAGCACACGATTCCACCGATTCTTGCGTAGTTTTGTGTTTTGCCTTTCGGTTATTTCCATTTTGATTTCTTTCATTCTTTTATCACTCGATGATTATTCTGTTTGGCGCCTCGACGTAGGCAACAGTTTTCATTGAAATGGGTCAATATCTCGAGATACAAGTGCTGGACAAGGACGATTTGAAAAAGAAAGACGAGAGCCTGGGCAGGTAAGACAAGTTTTATGTTTTGTTTTATGTTTTTTGAGTTGTCAGACCCACCACCAAACCACACCAATCTGCACCCCCCCAGTTAGCCCTGTGAGTAATAATTGTTAACTGAATTTCGAAAGGCTCCTGTTTTGCATGGCGTGTGACTCGAGAATCGGGTATTTTATTGTTATGCTCCGCTCTATGAACTGCCAACTATGTACTATACTTTCTACCACTCGAACACTTACACATTTGTTTTTCTAGGCGTGTATTTTTACCACCATAGGCCACTATATTGGGTTTTCTTTGTGGGACTATGATCAGACTATGCCAGGTGTACAGAACGATGATGAATTGGGCAGGTTGTATTGCCGCATGAAACTGCATTCACGATTCGTTTGTTTGTTCTTTTTTTTTGGTTTCTTGAATTTTATTTATGCTCTGAATACATTTACTAACAAAAGAGCCAAGTGGCGAGCCATCAGACAATACGCGGTTTCCGCTGAAAATGTTTATTGGAAAAATATCGATGTGACCCCAATTGAAATGATTTGAGAATTTGTAGTTGCATGTTTGTTATTTTTTTGTTAATTTCTAAATAGTTTGTTTTATTAAAATCTTGGAAACCGTAGTTTTCTGACCTGTACTCAGCACTCTCACTGACTGAATTTGCATGAACTTTGACACCATTTGAACCACGAGCAGAAGCCGAAGCACACTGATTCACAGACACAGGAATTTTAATTTAAAACTCTACTTTCTACAACACCCACTGACCTTCAAGCATGCCAATGACCATACGTAGTTAGATCAGACCCTGTAAATAACACCTCTGAGAACTAACAACTATTAATGCCAATAATGTATTCTATATTGCTTTCGGATCAGGCTGTGGTCGAGGTCTCGCAGCATGCGATCCTCGTGCTCAGACTTTATGACTGGGACCGCACTAGTGATGACGAATCGCTTGGCAGGTTAGGCAATCATTGATTGATTAATTGATTGATAGAACACCTCGATTGATCGAGCATTCCCAAGAACTCTTTACACAAGAATACCACCCAATAAACAAAACAGAAAAGAATACCCAAAAGTACACTTAAATTAAAGGGGCTCTTTGACCTTTGACCCGCTTAAAATTCAACCAGTTATTTTTTGTTTATTATTTTATTAAATTTTATTCATTTTATGCCCTAACTAATTTGATATTTTTATTGAAAAAATAGAGCCAGCATCGATATTGCCAGCGTTATCAAGAAAGGCGTTGTGGATAGTGTAAGTATTCTTAGTTATAAGAACTTTCTTTGATAAATCCTTTATAACCCTTCAACCCTCTTTCCAGTGGCTTACTCTGGAAGATGCCAAGCATGGACTCCTCCATGTCCGCCTGCAATGGTACAAACTCACCGCAGATCCCAATGACCTCCAGCAGATCCTGCTGGAGACCAAACTTCTACGGGTTACCACCATGAGCGCGGCCGTTCTCAGTGTCTTTATTGACTCTGCCAGACATCTAAAGGTAAGTGAACTTTATAATGAAATTTATTTAATATTAACTAATGTTTTAAAATTACAGCAAGCCCGTTCCAGCTCCAAACCCGATCCCTATCTGGTCTGCAGTGTAAACAAACAAAAACAACAAACAGCCATGATAATGAGGGATGACTCCCCTGTTTGGGAGCAGGGCTTTACCTTCCTAGTCGGCAATCCCGACAACGAAAGCTTGAACATTAAGATCTATGACCAGAAGACCGGAAACGATATCGGCCAATATACCTACGCCCTCAGCACACTGCTTAAGCAGTTCAACATGGAGGTGATCCAACAGCCCTTCCAGCTGCAGAAATCCGGCCCAGAATCGAAGCTCTACATGTCGCTGTCTCTGAGGATACTGAAGCCCGGTGAGATCGAGAAAGAATCTGATACATTGGAACAGGTGGCGGCACTTACGAGGAGCAGTTCCGTAAAAACGCCAGAAGTAGCTGTAGTGGCTCCACCATCGTTTAAGGTCAGTAGAGAGATCATATCTATAGCTCATGTTTGACATCTATAGCTTACCCAACAGGACACCCAGGCTGGCAACAAACGCTTGTCCACCGAGTCGCCCATCAGTGAGGAGGACCCTGCTGTGGTTGCCAAGATCTCCCCTGCCCTGTCTGCATCCACCTCGAGTGAAAAGCCAATCAGTGAACTGGCCACGTCCGTGTTGACCCATCGTTTTCCCGATAGCTCCAACTCGGCTGGAGAACATGGACTGGGAAGGATTCAGCTCTCGCTCCGGTACAGTGCCCAGCGCCAAAAACTGGACGTGACCATACACAAGATCGCAAAGATTCCGCTGCGTGATCCCAGCAACATACCCGATCCGTATGTGAAGCTATACCTATTACCCGGTCGGAGCAAGGAGTCTAAGCGCAAAACGAGCGTCATCAAGGACAACTGCAATCCAGTTTACGATGCATCCTTCGACTACCTGATTTCCATAGCCGAGCTCAGGCAGACGCAGCTCGAGGTGACGGTCTGCACGCAGAAGGGTTTCCTTTCCGGCAGTAGTCCCATTATTGGAATGGTAGGTATACGTTCCAAATGTTGCAATAACCAACCCCTAGAAGAAAGCCACCCCCTAAGGCTTAGTCCTGGCACATTTTTATAATTCTCATGTGCGAATTCCGAAAAGTGTCAAATAAATAGGGATACCGTAAGGATGAACCTCGTTCTTGCTTCGGCAGAACATATACTAAAATTGGAACGATACAGAGAAGATTAGCATGGCCCCTGCGCAAGGATGACACGCAAAATCGTGAAGCGTTCCACATTTTTTTGCTTACCTTTATCCCATTAAACTACTAACCTTTAATAATATTATTTCCTTATATTTTTTAGCTAAAAATACCTCTGGATGATAGTGAGATTACCACTCAGTCGGGCTTGAACTCGTGGTTTGATCTACAGCCTGAAATGCGACACGAGTAATCCAGGTGGAGTGGAATGGAAGCAGAATCTCATCACAGATCACGGCACAATCAACTCGAAAAAAAACTAAACACTTTTTTACCAATCACACTGAGTCTTTTCTAATTGTTAAATGTATTTAATTTATTTGGTATGGATTTGGTTGGACTTTTGAAATCCGAACCGAAACCGAAACGAAAACAAAACTCTCTTAGTCGTGCCTCTATTTTTAAAACTATCAACTTATTATAGTCGAATAAAACAAACTGTGTTTTCAACAATAAAAAAAAGGTTTTCTTTATAAATATCTTTTATAATTAACTTTAGATTATTTTTTTAAATTTTCAACAATGCCAGTCTTGATATATAAAAAGATTTATATTTTATATTAACCTTTTTTAATATTTTTGGTAATATAAGCCTGGTTTTTATTTATAAAAAAAACTTAAAAGAAAAAAGATTTCTTAAAAGTTACGTATTCTACATTGCTTTCTACATAATTTACCTTATTTACATTACAAAAATGTAAAAACTCGACCGCTAGATGTCGCTATTTTCCATACCTTATAATTCTCAAGTGCCTTTTCAGCAAGCATTTGCTTTAAATACAACCTTTTTCAAGATACATTCGTTCTTGCTTCGGCAGAACATATACTAAAATTGGAACGATACAGAGAAGATTAGCATGGCCCCTGCGCAAGGATGACACGCAAAATCGTGAAGCGTTCCACATTTTTTTGCCAACCTGGCGTTTAAATTTCCATTAAAAGAATTATATTTTGGGTTTTTTGCTTTCGCCATTATTTATTATAATTTGGTATGTATTTTGTAATGTTTATAGATAGACAATCGTTTTGCTTCGACATACATACATCATCTGACATGTGTTTATTTAGACATAATAGTTATGTTTTAACTTCATTTTATCCTTGCTTAATGCATATGCATACAAAATTTGCAATTTTCAACACAGTTTTTTGTTTTTTATATCAATATTTATTCATGCTCTCTTAATTTTATAATTTTTATCAATCAAGTTTCGGAGTTTTTCAAATAAATGTTATATCTTTTATTATTTGGTTCTGGTTCTTTCATTTTTCGTTGTCGGAATCTGATCTCTTCCGGCTGACCGAAGAACTATCTAATCTGAATTTCAATTTCCACTTGCGTTTCATACCTAATTTTAAATAATTTGAAAATACACAAATATTGTTATTAATATAGATATATATATGTATATATGCTTTAAATGGACACATGAATCAGGCTCTTGGTTTTTTAATGTATTGTATATAAATTATATATAGTTCTCAATTGGTAATTCTGTTGCTTCGTTATCGAATCTGAAACTTGAACTTTTCTATTCCAACGTGTTTTTGAGGTAGTTTTCTTAGTTTCGTTAAATATATAAAATTGGTTTCTCTGAAGCACATTTATATAAAGCACACACATTTACAATAACCGTAACATTTAGGTATAAATGGTTGTTTCATTATGTATACATATACACATATATAATTATAATTATATATTTAATATGTTAATCATACAATATTAAACACTGAGGAACTGTCGTGCTTATCGTTCAATGCTGCTTCGCCTTGAATTCTGTTTACTTTACGCTGTACTTTTTACACAAAGCCCAAACCTAAGATACCTAAGCAAATCTGACTTAAATATGATATAATATATGCATAGTGCACATATATATTATTATTTTTATTTTGCTTGCGCTTGTACTTTGTGTGTAGGTGAGTGTAAATGGGCGTGGATGGGCGTCTGCTCTTCCTTTTCCTTTTTATTTATTTTTTTTTAAATTCCTAAACATCTAAATTGTAATTTTGAATTCTTATCACTTATGTAATGAGGTTAAGCTCCCAGGACATGAATTTGAAAACCCTACAAACTGGATGGCCAATTTAGTGTTTTAATTTATAATTTATGTGCGCTCTAATTGTTTTTGCTGTTGTTGTTGTACTTGTTTTAAGCCTAAAATTAACAACTACAATTTGTTATGTTCACGTTTTCATCGCTGTAGGTGATACGAGTGCCTAAGTTCTAAGTTTTTAACTTGAATCACTTTTGTAATTTGTATTTTCGTTCTCATTCTCAATCCTGTTACCATTTTAGAATGTATCCCCCCGGTTAGAATGTAGTTCTTACTTCCGAAAGTTAATTCCTTTTGATATCAACTGAACACAACTCGTTAAGCAACAAATAGCAGTAAGAAAGGCTACAAATATATAGTTCCATGGAAAGTACGTACATATATCCCAAAAAAGAAGAGGTGTGTACCCGACCACAAAACTAACTACACAACAAAGAAAACTTGAATACAAATATCACAAAATTAGCATCGAAGCAGAGCAAATTAGAATAAAACTCAAAATTGGATTAAGTTTTTTGTTTCTTTTTTCTTGTATTTTTTTTTTTGTACAAAAAATGAATTAAATTTTGGAGTAGCCCGCAAAAAGTGAAAAGTAATCTTTACTGAAACTGTAACTGAAAAGCCTTTTAAATGTTTTCATCATGTGTGCCTAAAAATTAATAAATTATGATTTATATTGAAGGTATTTCGTATGCAAAAGATTATGAATAGAAAACTTAAAGATATTCAATTTTCTGTTATAGAGTACAAGCATGAATCGAACCTAGAGTTAACATCAAGAAATAAACGCATAAAAAGAAAATTAAAATTATATCACCACGCATGTATGTATATATGTAGGTTTACAAAGTATAACTATTCCATATAAGTAAATTAATCAAGTTTCGTATAGAACATACAAGCAAGCTTGTCTTAACAAAATGAAAAACTTAAAAACAAAATCCTAGGACCATTAAAATATATATTGGATGTTTTGCCAAAAACAAATAGGTTTACCGATAAATGTAGTAAATAGGTATTATATATAAGATATATATATGTTCTATGTAAAAGCTCTCTCTCCGTAGTTAGCTGGATGTAAAAACGTACGACTAAACATTGAACCAAATTATACAGATGTAGTTAATATAGCATTCAAAACTTAAACAGATAAATCGCAGTTGTATATAACTTATTTTCGATATTGATATTTATAGCATTTCATTTTCGTATCTCGTTTCCCCCGATCAAAATTAAATCAATTAAATGACAAAAAACCCTTATTCATTAAGCAGGTAAAACTGGTAGCAATTTACATGCTCGTCTCACTTTCTTTTTCCCTTTTTTTCCTTAACAATCTTATCAGCTAAACAAAATTTCGTATTTTTATCTTTCTTTTTTAGTTTTTGTTTTGTTTTGTTTGTTTGTGTGGTTGCCTCTTTCTTTACATTTTTTTGTTTTGTATCGAATTCTTAATGTTGCGTTTTTCAAAAAGGAATTTAGTTTCTCACTTTTTTTGTTTTTTGTTTTTTTGCTCTGGTTTGAAGGTTTTCAGTGTGGTAGTGTGAAAATTAAAAAATATTTCCTCTATTTCCTGCCATACAAAACATACTAAGCCCAGGCTCATTAAATCACAGTTATATCTCGGTTATCGATATCATATCACTCATGCAGAACAATTTATAATAACAGAACGTGGTTTTCGCCAAACTACTGATCTCATTCCAAATCCAAAGTCATTCTGCCACTGAATCAGGTTTCAGGTTTCAGGTTGATTTTCTGTATCTGGTTTCTATGTAGACTGGATAACACTAATCTTGATGGGCGGTTCCTTAGCTTTATATATTTTCTTTTTGGTCTATGATGATTTACGCAGCTCCTCTAGGCCTCCGTTTGGCATGCCGCCCCTCATGTTCTCCAGCACCTTGTTCACGAAATCCGTAGAACCTCCCGCAATGCGAATTCCAGCTAAAATGATGATATATTTTTATAAAATCTATATAGATATAGTCTTTAGAGTTTACTAACATGATGCGGTGGCATAAATGCGTGCAATTTGTTGATCCACTTCCTCGGTGGACTCTCCCAAGCTTTTGGTACGATGCTTCAGGGCCAGAGCCTGCTTTAACTCGGCAATGCCGCTCATCAGGCGCTCTAAAATAATACAAATAATAAGTATATTTTTATCTTCAATATAGGTTCTATAGAGGAAACATACTGTGTTCTATTTCAAGGCCATAGAGCTTGATTTTGTTCGCCTCGTGCTGGGCCTTCTTCTTCAAGCGACAGGCGCGCGAGGCCAGCTTGTTCTTCTCCTTGCGCGACTTGGGACGAACGTTGAAGGGCAGCTCGGAGACGGGTGTCATGTCGTTAATTGTGCGGCTTAGCTTGTCCAGCTCCTTGCCAATGGCGTGCAGCTTTTTGGCGTTGGGGGTCAGGTCGTTGCCGTCGCCCTTGCGGGCCTTTCCGCTGTGCTGTTGATGAGAGAGAATACATTATTTATTTCCAGAACTTTTGGCCTTAAAGTCCATCATCTTACCTTATACACCTTGATACCCCTAACGGAGCAAGTGGGACTGAAGACCGGATCGGTCACCTCATTTAGCACATGGGGATCCTCGAGCTTCGACTGGAAGACCAGCCTCTTGCCCTTGGGACCCTTGGCTTGGACATTGTACTGCCAGAAGAAGCGCTCCTTGCCCTTGCTGCCCGACAAGTGGTTCGGCGTCGAGGTACGTGTCTCATCCTCGTCGCCAGAGCCACCATTGTCGCTGCTGAAGTCATCGTAGTTGTCGCTGTTCTCGCTGGAGTTGTCATCTTCGTCGTCCTGCGAGAAATCGACGCCATCGGGCGACAGGACACTGCCTGTGCTCAGCGACGAGAAGCTCTCGGCCTCGGCCAGCGAGCCGGTGGAGAGTAAATGCTGTCGCGGCTCCCGGCGCATCCAGATGTGTTCGAGTCCCAGGTGCGTGGGAGCTGAGGAGCTCAGCCGGCTCAACTGCGAGCTGTCGGCGGCGCCCTGAAAACCAAATGACTTGCGAGCTGCTCCTCCCGGGGTCTGGGAGCTGCCAACCGTGCTGTTTCCGGAGGCCGAGCTGCCAAAGCCACTGCTTCCGCCCGGGCTGAGGGCCGCCGACTGGCTGAGAATGGAGCGGTCTGTGGGCGAGGACATGGGGAAGCCCTTCTTGATCAGCTCCTGCATGTTGCGCGACTTGACCTGCTGGTACGGCGGACGATTGGCATGCGGCGGAGGCGGGGGCGTCAAGGGCGACTGGGAGGCCTGGCTGCCGGGCGAAAAGCTGGCGGACAGCTGCTGCTGTTGCGGCTTTTGGGGCGTGCTGTGGTAGATCTCATATGGACTAGTCAAGGAACCGTTCTGCTGCTGTTGGGTGAGTGTCAGGAGCGTCTCCAGCTGCGGAAGGCTTCCAACCTGCAGCTGATTCGTCTGATTCTGGTTCTGTTGCTGCAGCAGCTCCATGGGAGGCGCCACAAGGTTGTTCTGACCCTGGGCCTGCGGCGAGAGCAGGAAGTTGACACTCTGAGAGACAGCGGTTTGGGGCAAAAAGTCCTCAATGCTCCCGATGACGTCCAGGAAGTCACCGCCGTTCAGATCGGACAGATCGGCCGCCTGGATCTCGGCCTTGTCGTTGGGAAAGATGTAGTCGTCGTCCAGGCTGAATGGCTCGTGTTTGGTTTGAATAATGGCACTGCTGATGTCGCTCCACATGGCATTCGAGTTGGGCGTCATCTCGTAGAGCAGCTCGTTCCCCATCACCTGCTCGGTGACGACGTTCAGGCTCAGGCTGTGAGACATGTCCGGAGCGAAGAACCCTCCACCCAAACCACTGTCCCCCACCACAGAGCCCCCATCACCTCCTCCAGCACTGGCATTGCTGCTGTTCCCATTGTACAATGTGGTGTTCAATGGCGAAGCTGCGCTGAGGCTCACGTCCTGGAGAAGAGTGGGCGACAAGGAAGTCGCATCCAAGGCATCGAGCCCAAAGTCCGAGAGCTCGCCCAGCGCCAAGTGTGGGTGTTGCAGCTGCTCCTGGGGCTGCTGCTGATGTTGCTGCTGCTGTTGTTGCTGTTGCTGCTGCTGCTGGGGATGATGCTGCTGGTGGATCATGCTGGGCAAGGAGAGGAGCGGACTGGGATGATGCTGCTGCTGGTACGGATGATGGTGGTTGTTGCTGCGTGGTATTGTTATGGCCGTTGTACTCAGCATTACATTACAGGTGTTGGTGGTACTTGTGGAACAGTTGCTGCTGCTGCTACTACTGTGGCTGCTGTTATTGTTGTTGTTGTTGTTAGTGGAGTTGCCGTAGCCCGTATTGATAGTCAACGTAGGCAGAGCACCCACAACAGTGGAGCCCAGCGAGTAAAGATCGTACTTGAGTGTGGTGCTGCTGCTATTGGAACCGGTGTCAAAGAATTCCGATGACATGGGGTACAACTGGTTCTCGGTCATGTTGTTGTTTCTGGTGTTGCCGAGGGGGAATCCTCTGCTCCAGTTGCTCTCCCAGTTGATGGCTTCCCAAGGAAGCGAGTTGCCCAGCAACTGCGCTGCGATTGCGCAGTTAACTTCCAAGTTTCTGTAAGGAAAAATCAGAGAGATATGGATATCAGATATAGCCAGTTGCAGTTATGGCGAGAAAAGAGACAGAAGCTAATTAAATGAATACATTATGGCTTTTATTGTGGCTAGACAACCTTGGCTTACTGGTTTTCAGCCCAATTCCGAAAGCATTAGACTGCATAAAATCATATATTTTATGCTAAACAGCCCATGCAGCTGCTAATCTTTAGACTCACGTGTTGCTCCAGACACGTGATTGTATATATTTTAAATAAATTATCATAAGGTGTGGTAAACTAATTGAAAAAGTCATTCCAAGATTACGTTGGTCTATATAGTCTATAATATAAGAGTAACTTTCCCTTGGCCTTTTCTGGGAATAGCCACAATCTGTCCTAATCTCATCAGGTTGAAAACTAATATCAAAACAAGTTTGTGCGCCACTAACAACTCTGAAGATAAACACAATAATAGTCTGAAAAAATTTGCAAATCCAAGAGCCAACTCAACAATATTCAGCGTTTGTTATTGTTTTGGTTATCGCCTATTTTAAGGCAGAAAAATAACAACAGAGATAGGATCCCCTCTCTAACCATACTCCCCTCCATCAAATGCTTTTTTTTTTCTTTGATTTGGTAAACAACAAAATTTTGAGGAGAAATCATCAACAAGAGCGAGTCAAGAAATGGCAAGGTTTTTTTTTGCCAAAAAATTAGTAAGCCATTTTCGGGTTCTGGCCAACCACTACTACCGGTTCTCGATCAGGTGAAAGGCCTCCTCTGTCTACTATTGTTTTCCATCTTGTAGCCCCCGACAATAAATATTAATTAGTTTGTTTACAAAAGAAAATACAACATTCTCATTTTCCATTTAATGTTCATAAATCAGGAAAGAAAAGTGCATCTAGTATAGGGGATTTGGATCGTAATATTTTGTGGCGCATTATGGAAATTTCAGAGGAAATTGCCTTGAAGAAAGAGGTGAACTTTTCAGGAATCAAAATACCATTAATAAATATTTTTCAAAAAGGCCTCTCTCCCAATGAGTTATAGTATCTTGATCCCCTTGTTTGGCTTATCTTTGCTGACGTTACTGACGATAAGTTTACAAAATACCCGATAAGGGTCTCTGCTTTACACTTCCGATTTCGATTTGAACTTTGTAATGCCCCATCCCCGTCCCCCAGACGTGAAGGTCACAAGCTGTGAACCAAAAAGACAACTTATAATATGGTTGGGGGGAGAGTTGGGGGGGAGAGCCAGCCACTCGAGATACAAACACACAAAATTCTACTTTTGCTAAGTGATATGCTTGTTTCTCTGGTTTCTTTACATTATTGCTATTTCCTCTTGAAATTGTTTAATATTCGTCAAAGGTAGCTGAACGCCTTGAAGGCCAAACAATAAAAAGCGAGAATTGAGAACCAAACCAAATACCAAAAACATAGGAACCAAAAAAGCCCGAGTGGGGAGCTCTTATATATTATCGCTTATATACCACAAACATATGGCTGTACATACAAACATACAAGAAATAGGCAAGAATTTATTACAGATTTTCTGTCCAAAAAAAAAGCAAAAACAAAAACCATAAAAAAATCCCAAGTGGAATCGTACGAAAAAGTCAAGAAGACGAGCAAACACAATAAGCGCTAAACAAGCATTTCTATATAAAATGAATAATACTATTAAAAAAAATCCCCACGCACACAGACACGAAGAGTTAATGAACGCGAAATGTTTGTTGGTGGGGCGGGAGAAGTGCTGGTGAAAACGGGAAGCCGACGAACATCTGATCCAAAAGCATATGATAACGAAGTCGAAGCCGAAGAGCGAGAGAAGAGAAAGAGCACAAAAGAATAGATACAATAGTGTATCTTTTACCGGAAAAACATAACTTAAGAATAATATGAAATATCTATGGATGTATATTACCTTATTCATTGAATCAGTATTCTTCCCTTATGAATCTTCACTTTAATAAGTTAAGTAAACTAATAAAAACCCATTTGCGAGCACGTGAAGAGCATTAGGAAGGTAATTCCCATACCGGGTTAAAGTACAAATTTCCAGCTGAATCCGTGACCAATGTGCACTCTGTGTGACTAACTGAACAACGAAAGGGAAATGAAAATAAAAATGATACCGATTGACATTTTCTATATATATATTTTTTGTTTTGCGATATTAATAACACATGTTGGGGACACGAGTTTGTATTTCAACCGACGATGAAATAATGCACTAACAATAATAATAATTATCGAAATAAAAAAAACAGTTAGCGTGGCTTGCTATCAACAGCAGGAGAGATCCCGAGAGCTTGAGTGGGAGAGAGAACAAATTTAAAGCACACTCTCAAGGTCAAAACTGTTTATTTTTTATATTTTGTTTTGAATGTATAATTTATCGCAGAGTTGCCTTTGTTTTCCACTCACCCATACACATACTGGGGGTGGCAGGCTGTGTAGAGTTGTAAACAAAAACGCGACGCTTGTAAAAAGCTTTAGATGAGAGCGTGGGCGCTCTTTTCGGTTCTCTTGTTTGTGGCCTGTGAGTAACATATGTTTTCCGTCTGTTTGCTTTTGTCGCCATCTTCGTAGACTTTAGTTATTTATATATGTATGTATATATTATTTGTATTGGCTATATAGTGTGAGCTTTTGTAGCTTTGCTTGACTGACGAGTTTTGTTGTTGCTGTTGTTGTTGTTTCTGGTTTACAATAACAAAATGTCTGCTCTTGGCATGGAAGCTTTTACATTTCGCCAGAATTTATACTAGATATTTGCTATTTGTCAGTGTGTGGGATTTCATATGCTTGTTGATTGCGCTATTTGTAAGTATAGAGCGTTCCTAGGGCATATTTGCACGATTGCTAAACACGAGTCCACTAGGAAATGGGAATTCTGGCTAAAAATTGGCTATATATTTAATAAAATGCATTTGGGAGTCTTTAGGAAATACTTGTAAGCCACGTGTGACTAGTTGGACTACAGGTCGTATACTTAATACTAACTCACAGGCTTAGGTATTGCATCTATCAACTATTGACGCTTTAATTTCCTCAAAAAATAAACTATCAGTTATATTTAATCGGAAATATACACACACTCTCTCTGAAAAAAAACCCTCCCAAAAAGATGCATTATCAATATTCTCCTCTGATGGGGTATTTCACTTAAAACGAATACCAGTTCAAAACAAAACGATCGACTAAAAATTGAAATAAAAACAAAACCAAAGCCACTCTGCTGCTCGGGCGAAACTTCCGTTCCGCATTATCAATGGGTCAGTGGCAGTGGTCAATGCCTGATGTGGGTTGGCGGGGTGGATAGGTGGCGCTCTCTATAATTTTCATCCTTCCCTCTTCTGCCTCCTCCTGCTTTGTTTTTGTTTCGACATTCGTCATCGCCCCGTCACATGTTCCGACTGTATGCAGTTTCCACACGCGTGCTCTTTCCTTCTTACTCTTGGGGCTGCTACCCATCTCCCTCTCACTCGTTCGCCCTATCTCTTTCATTGCGAAAAGACTATGGCCATTTCTTTGTTTAGCATTTTGTGCAAGTCACTTTTAGCTTTTCCTTTGTGGCCCCCACCTAGAGGCCCACTCGAAGAAATTAGATCACTTTTCCCACCTAAACAGTCAGATTGAGGAGCAATTCAAAGCCCCTATTTTCTCTGAGTGTACTCTAATTTTAGTTACACGCAGTATTTGCATGCACCACCACACAAAAATAAACCGACACCTCCCACACACAAGCACCCATTTTAATGTTGAGGTAGCCACCGCAGAACGAAGTGCATGCTCCTTCGACTTATTTTTAGTGACCCTGTTTAGCGATGGGGCAGAAAATAGACACATAAATGTTGAGTTAGCATGCCAAGCAGGGTTCAGGGGTATACATATAAGGAGGAGGTGCTCTATCTATAGTGTATTTGGGTATTCGATTCTAGCTTTTCGTAGTTTATTTTGTATTCATATGCCGGAATGTTTAGCATAGCATAGCGAATGTCTGGCAATTGATGATATAACACGCTCTGTCGCGTTCGCGTTCGGTTTTTGTTTTGCTTTTTGTTCTATACTTTATATACTTCTTATACAAACAGCTGACGTAAATTGTAAATTGTTGTATTAATTGGCAGAGGAAGATACGGCAGGTATAGACACCGATCGGGGAACTAAGTATACATAGGAGGTTTCAAAAGTCTCATATTAAAACAATTCACACCATAATACATAGTATAATATTCCCTGATTCCTAAAAGTTCCAAAAATACTTGGGATAGCTTTCAAGAGACCCCACATATCGAACCAATCAAACAGAGTACAATACAATTTACTCGCTTCCCCACCAGTTCGCTAATAGATAAATAATTAAAATCAATTTATATCGATTTAGCAGCACAAAAAGAAATTAGCACAAGTCGTCTGAATACTTAAACAAATACCAGATACTGGCCCGTGGAGAAGTCCCACTTTGTTGAATAGAAATCGTGATCGAAATGTCTTTTGGCTTTTAGGGTAGACAGTAGACAGCTAAATAAATAGAAATGCATTCTGAAAGGGTTGCGAAAACTGCGTCTGGTCTGGTGACGCGGGAGGAGGCAGGAACACGTGAGCCGACGCGTCGGTCCGATTCTCGCGCCTCCTTATCCGGGAGACCAGGGGCCGGAGACCCTCTCCAGAGGCGTCTGGCTCTGTCAGCTGTCCCGCGCTATCAGCCCAGAGCCGCGTGCCGGCACCGACGACAATGGATGATAAGCAATACGCTCAATGGGTCAGGCACTTGCAAATTTTAGCTCGACCGTCCGTCCCTCGACCCACACACAACTTTGTAGGTTGTGGGATGGCCGAGAAACTTATCTTATCGACCGACCGGCTGGGCTGGCTGGCTGGCAAGAGATAAAAACACACAAAAGATGGCCAATGAGTGTTTTGTTCGGCCAGCACTGATAAATGGACGAAAACAAATTTCTATTCCAGGAAGCGTTACGCCCCCCTCGAAAATGCCAGAAGCTAGTTCCCTATCGGCGTTAAAAATAGAACTAGACCCTTTTAGGAAATATACAAAAAAAATGAATAAATATATAAACGTATATTTGTTGAAATATTTTAGGAAAGAAATCTGAAAGAAAAGCAAACAAGTTTGCTTAATGGCCGCATCCGCAGAACAGCCTCTGGAAAGATCACAAAAATCTCCTCCCAGAGAGACAACAAAGAAAGTTGAAGGCCAGGCCGGCCAAGCAAATGACCGTATATAGAATATATAGTCAGCAATTTCAACAAAATTATTATAATGTGTGTTCAAAAATCGGTATCAAACAAATCAATTGAAAAGTAAATAAAAGCAAGCTTAGAAATCAAGATAATGATGCAATAACCCCACTTAACTAAATCATTTTCTGTATAAATATGTAAACAAAACTGCCTATTTTTCGACAGCTTGTAAATGAATTAATACATCTCTAAGCTGTAAATAGTTTAATTATGCAAAGTTTGATGACTGGAACCTGTTATGATAACTATCATTGCCGACAGTGATGATTACATTGTTGAATCCTTATGGCATCTGCATTTAATACACATAGATCTGATGATCTACAGATTTTTCTAGCAATTTCCTTCCTATTTATTCTTTTAATTCCTTAATACCCATACCCTCTTATCACCTACAGCTCTGCCCTATTTTTTATTGCCGGCCAACTTTATGGCTCTTATCGTGCGCTCAACTGTTGAGTCATTCGGAAATAAATTATACATGGATTTAGAAAGTGAACATTATGTTAAAACCAGAGAAAAGTCACCGCTCTAGAGTCTAGACAGTAACCATGTCGTATACGCAATAAAGTGGCGCCTAACGTGGCACAGAGCTTTACATTAAAACCGGCTCCAGTTCCAGATGAGGGGTAAGTAAGACTGAGTTGGATCTGTTTTTCTAATAGTGTTTGCCCAACATATGGACAGCATTATAGGCCTTTCTGCTAGCTTGACTTTTTTTGTTGGCTCTTCACACATGCTGCTAGTGTGCCTTTTATTTTAGTATTTCTTGTGCAAAGTCAACAGTTTTCAACCTTGAATTTTCGCGCTGACACTGAACCCAAACCGACCGAACAAAATTCAAATTGAAATCAATTTTAATTTAATTTTTTGTTGCCATACCCAGCAGAAATTTTGTTGATTTTCTTTTGTTTCATTTTGTAAGAGTGTGAGGGGGTCTTTGATTATTTGCACAAATGAAAAAAAATTAGTATTGGAATATTTTCATTCCACAAAAATTGCTGGCCTCTTCAGTTCTGAGACCCCGGGGAACATGATAGATCCCCTTAAAAATACCATAATTTCGTATGGGCGACAGGAAATGAGCTTAAACTTGAGCCGCGACTTTATACATATGTGTAGTGTCTAACCTAAACAGTGTGCTCGATACATAAATAAAACTTGAAATGTTTATAGGTTTATATGCTAGGCTTTGCTCATTTTTGTTTGGAGCGGGCTTTGCTTTTCTCGGTCTCGCATTTCAAAGGGCAGGGCTAGATTTTGATTTTGTAGTTTTCGGTTTCTGTTTCGGAATGAGACCCCCCCTTCTGGCTTGAAGTTAATGTTTTAATTGGCCTGCGGGATCATAAATTACCAAAATGTCGGCTTAGGGAAATGGAAAAACTGAAAAGCATGCTTTCGAGAAAAGCAAATTGTAATCACATCATGCATGGCCAGAGTTGTGAACTATAAAGATTTATGTCGTACGCGTTTAATGATCAAATAAATTCCCAAAATTTGTGTATGGTATAATTTTTCTTATTTGGATTATGAGGTCGAGTATTTTATATCATTGTACCCACCTCTCTTTCTGGTTGATTTTCCTTTTTACACCTCGTTGCTTATAAACAAGCCAAGAAACGATGCTGGTGTTGATTTGTTGTAAGACCTTTTTATATTACTTCCTTGAAAATTTCACATTAAATGCACGAAAGTTTAAACATATTCCCCCGTGTGTTCACAAATTAATTGATATTTTTATTTTTGTTTAATTCTTCCTCGTTTTCGTTATTAATTATTATGCATGGGCACAATCACATCAAGTTGGGATGGTGGGGGGACGCGTTTATATGTAAATTTCATTGTTATTTTTCTGGGTGCGTGTGTGTGTTTCAGTTTTTTTTGTTTAAACTAGGTCACACATGTGGCGATTAAAACAGAAATTTATACATTTAGTGAAGCACATTAGACCGATGAATGCGTATCATCCGGAATCACACTAAACACACACTCGGTAAGGATGTGATAAGAGTTTCGAGTAAATCTTATCAGTACCACTACAAAGTAGTTTCAATTTATAACTCTGGTATGTACTTCTGCAAGACCGCACTCAATAATATTTTAGTGAAACTCGTTTTTTTTAATTAATGGCAAAAATTTACAACAAATTATGTGTCAACTCTGTGCTCTAAGATTTCAGTTCGCGCGGGTTTTTGTTGTCAATTTTGCGGATTGTGGATTTCCGAGGTGCGACCGAGCAGTTGAGCGCTTTGCGAACAACTAACTGATCGGCGGTGGACCCGATCGGGGAGCCGAACTTGGACCGTTCGGCTTTGGGGGGCTTTCGACAGCTGGCCGTCCCGCTCTTCTGTTTTGGAGTGTGCTTCTAATAAGAATATACTATATTGTTTGTATGTATGTATATATTTGTGTACATACGCACACTGCCGTTTATATATATTAGTTCTGTAGACGAATTCCAACGCATTCGTCAAGTTTGGCAGCGTTTATGTTTGTCGGTTTATTTATTTATGCAAATTAGTGGTTGTCTCTTAATGATTTTTATGTTTCAGTTGCCTCGGAAACGAGTCTAGAGCGGTGTTAGGTGGGTAGGTGCTCTGTTTGAATAAATGCCGATAAGTTTATATCAAAACCGTGTTTTTTCTCGACCGATAAACCAGAAACAAGTTTTAATTGATGACCAACGAAATTATGACAAACCGAACTAATTATATTATTTTCGATTTTATTTCTCTGCACCTTTTAATGCTTTTTGTTCTTTTTATTTTGATTATCACACTTGGTAGTAATGGTGTGAGTGTGTGTCCGTAGCTCTGCTCCCTTAATATTTTTTTGGGCTCTGCGCTCGACAAACGTTCTTGACCGATTGATAAAAAAGTACCCAAAGCTCGGCCACAAAGCCGAAAGGCGAGCGCCAAAAGCTCCCCATTTTGTTTTGATTGTTCAGCTGGCCAGATAGAGAGCGAGGGAGAGAGAGAGCGGAAGAGTTGGGGACCAGCTTCGCGAGAACAGCGTGCGCATGCCCCACCATCTCTCCCCCACACACACACACACACAACCAAACTTACTCTGTTGCTTCTTTCACTTCCACTTTTCCATTTGGTTGGAAGAGAGAGAGGTGGAGGAAGCGTAAAGAGAGGCGGCCCGAAGCTTGAGTACAGTCTGTTTCAATGTTGTTGTTTTTGCTTTTATTATTATTTTGCTTTTTCCATTTGATTATTAAATAAATTCATTTACAAAAGCTTTTGCCGCCGCCGCCGCCGCCGCCGCTGCCAATATGTGTATGTGTATCTCTCTTTCGTTCTGCTAGTCCCTTTCTATCCCAATGTTTTGACGTCACTTTTGTTGTTTACTTCGGGATGGCAGCCGCTTGTTTTCCCTTTTTCTTGGCCATTCGCTTTTGTTGTTGTTGCCGCTGTTTGTTTCGCGTTTTTTATGCAAATTTTTGTTATGAAATTGTCTGACGCTTTGATTCTAATTTAATTTTTATTATTTTTTTTTCGCCAGTGTATAAATAAACTTGTTTACAGCAATCGAAAAAATACAATATACTCAAGTGTCTATGCCTGTTGTATATTACATATTGCTGAATTAAGTGAAACTGTAAGAATAAACGACCGTTCTTTTTTTTCTTTTTAATTCCCTGACATTGCACTTTTTTCCCTCCGATTCTTTTTTTTTATTAGTTTGTTTATAACAACAACCATCAATATCGATGACAACAAGAATGTGCAAACAACAATGTCAATTCAACTTCTGTTTCGAGTATCGCTTCGAATTCGTGTATCTTTTGCATTTCGCTGCCGCTCTTCCCTCCTCGGTTTGATTTTGAGTCAATACTATATAGCGTTTTATTTCAGCTGATGCAATATCACTTAAAAAATTGTAATACAATATAAATCGGTATTTAGTTTGATTAAAAAATATGGAAAAATATACCGGAAACTACCAGATTTAGTACTGAAACACTCCGATTTTAAAAAAATTCCCGCTTCAGTTATCCTTTATTGCATGATCTAACTGACAGATTTGAAGAAATTCGCACTTAGGATCCCTTAGGATAACAGCCCACTTTTACGAAATTGTCGCTTATGTCGCTTGCACTAACAGCCCGTTTTTAAGAAATTTGTACTTATATAGAATAATAAGGATAACAGCCCGCTTTGACGAAATTTTCGCTTATGACCCTTGCACTAACATCCCATTTTTAAGAAATTAGCTCTTATATTCCCTAGGATAACAGCCCGCTTTTACGAAGTTTTCGCTTATATCCCTTGCTAACACCCCATTTTTAAGAAATCATTCTAATATAATTTTCTTTATATTTATTTTTATTTAAGAACCTTTCCAAAATTTGATTACACAAATCACTCTCAAGTTCTCATAAATATCACTTCCCAAAAATGTCCAGCTATTGGAAACACTTTACTGACATTACCAGGCAACAAATCAAGGGCCTACCATTTAAGGATCCTTCCGACTCGTTGAAATGGAAGTCCTACCGACCAAATAATGGCCAAGCGTGGGCTACATAACACTCCTGGCAAGAGAGGAAAATAACCAACTGACGTAGGAAGTTTTTTGTTGTTTTTCCAGTAGCTGCTGCTGTGACAGCAAATCACGACCATGTCCTTGAATGCGAAATTGCGACACAAGTGGCCGAGAGGGAGTATCAAGGATACATGGGGAGCAACAAGGATAACAGCAATACATATTCCACGCCCAACCGCCCACGCTAACAAAACAACACATAAATATGTACATAGGAGTATATTGTACAAACACCCATAGTACGTGCAGATACATGTTTACAAATGCGACAAAAATAAATGCAGGCGAGATGCATGCTAGAAATCGAGGGAAAAACAAATAAAATCTAATGCGTGTCAAGTATAAGGATATTAAATATGTTTATTATACAAGATATGTATATTTTTATGTAAATAGAAGCATTTTAAATGATTATCACTGACGTGGGCGCCGGTTTTTTGTTGAATATTTACAAACCTGTATCCCAACACCGCCTACGCGTAGATACTTGGGTATTTTAGGGATGCGTAGGCGCTTCATGAGCTTCCACCACACCCCCAGCCACTTTCACTTTCGCTTTTCCTTCGGGAAGTTCAAGGCAGGCTAAAGCTTCAAAGACCTTGAATAATTTTTCGTTTTTTTTTTTTTTGCTTTTCCTTTTTATTTGTGGGCGTTGTCCTTCGAGGCCGCTTCATGGTGGGCGTTGCCCTTATTCATATTTCTTAGGCCGAGCGGAGACGAGCCGAGCCCATGGGTCCCGTTTTGGCGGGCGTGATAAGGCATAAACAAATCCTAATTAATTAATTTTCAAAGGCGTATTTTCGATTTAGCATCTGGCAACGCCTAAAGGCAAGCTTTGGCCATTGAGATTGAGAGCTTTGCTTTAAGCCTTTCACTAAGCTTCCTGGGGAAAATTCTTCCACTGACCATGTTATGAATAGGCGGAATAACAACAAAAATTCCAACCGCAGACAGTCAAGGACAGCGAGTGGGTGGATCGCCCGGCACAGAGTGAGAGAGAATTTGACCAGCGTTGGTCCAAGGATTTTCCCATCTTAACTTGATTTCTGCGTCGTAATTTTCCAGCATGTCCTCTGTCCTCGTCGGGAAAAGCAACCCCAGTTTTTATTGCTGAGAGGGCCCACCAGCCGGCAAAATGTGTACACAAAGCTTGCGAGTCTATATACTGATGCAGTCCTTCCAGGTTCGCCCTCTCCCCTTACAGTTCGCCAATTTAAGCCACCCACTCACCACCCACACCACCCACTCTACCCACTCCCTTGTCTCCATCGGAGACGTTGTTGTGACGCGTATCGATTTGTTTATGTTTATCAAATGGAAATTGGCACAAGGGGCGCCAGACGAGGCTCCTTACTTTACGAGGCTCTGGGGTATGGGGGGCTGAAGGGCCATAAAGGCTCTATAACAATGGCAAATATCTTCACTCCCTTTCGATACTAATCAAGAGGATACATATGTGTTTTTTCGAAAAAGTAAGGAACGGGTAGTGGAAACACCCCCAAAATTTTCCTAGAATCATAGACCCTTTGATGAATTTCTAGGAACTATTTAATTAAAAATGTTGGATCAAATTAGAATGATAAATAGTATCTATTTATAATTTTTTGCAAATGGGAGTATACCTTTGGAACAAAGCTATCAATTGCTGACATGCACTCTGCATGTGATGGAAAATGTACTTAGCTGGCCTGTATAAACAGTATAATTTTTTCCTCATTTTCTTTTTTAGCCATTTTTTGTTGTTTTGCCAATTTGCCAGCTTTACGTTCTCGTTCATTGGCCCCAATATATATATAAACTGATAAAATATAATAACAAATATATACATAGATATACAAAAATAAAACCACAAAACGTTTTTTGCAACTAAGCATTTTCTATAGTATACGTAGAGAAAAGACCATTGACTCGGTTTCTTCCCCAAAAGACCAACTCAAGTCAAGTTCAGGGCCAAAACTGATTATTGTTTGGACTTTGTTGGGGTTTTTTTTTGGCATGGAACCTGCTTAGGCATTATCATTATCTAATATTCCTCGTCATTCCTCAAGCTACATATATAAACCCATAAATTAAAGCCAAGAAGTATAACCTAATATACAGAATTATACAAAAGCTTACCCTCTCTAATTACTTTTGTAATTTTTCCGGAATGTAAACGATTCAATGCCAACCTGAAAAATGGAAACAAAGAAAGCGAATTTAAATATCAAAGCGAAATATAATTTGAAATATTACGTGAAACGTTCAAAGTGCAAAAAATTATAAAGACCATAAATGTGGGCGAAATTACAATTTTAGTTTTAGCTTCAATGATTGTGGACGGGTCTAGGAAGCGATAGCTGATATATATATTCTTGTACATATATATAGATATATGTTTGACAATGCGGAAGTTGTTGAAATTGTAACAAATCCAAAGCGAAACAAAGAGAACTGCAGACAGACAGATATAAAAATTGTTGCACTCTGTCTGCCAGTAGAGTGTGTATGGATCGT